GTACAGTGATTGGTGTTAATGGAGAAGGTAATGCGATTGACGTGAAACTTGTTGACGTTTTGTACGTTCCGTCGTTGACAAGTGGTCTAATCTCCGTGGACAAGTTAACTGCGAATGGTTTTACTGCCGTTTTCATGGAGGACGGGTGTAAAATCCAAGACACTGCAGGTACGGTTTCGATCGTTGGTGAGCGGTCTGGCTGCCTATACAGACTGAAGTTGGCGGAGTCGTCGAAGAAAGTTCAAGGTAAGGCACACAACCTTAATTGCCAGCATCAGTGGCACCGACGTTTCGGGCATAGGGACCCTGGTGTTATTGGTAGGATTCGTGACGAGAAACTGGGTATCGGTATGAATGTTTCCGACTGTGGTATCAGAGAATGTTGCGAACCTTGTTTAGAAGGGAAGATGACACGAAACCCGATTCCAAAGGCAGCGGAGAGGAAGTCGACTCAAGTGTTGGATCTGATTCACACCGACCTGTGTGGACCAATGCGGACAACGACGCCCGGTGGTAAACGATTCTTGATGACGATGATAGATGACTTTAGTCGCTTTACGGTCGTCTATTTGCTCGAGAAGAAGTCGGAAGCGCACGTATTATTCGCTCAGACGGTGGAGGCGAGTATGCGAACAAGGAGTTAAATAATTTCTTCACACATGAGGGAATTAAGGCACAGTACACCACAGCGTACACACCGCAGCAGAATGGTGTAGCTGAGCGGAAGAACCGGTCGCTACAAGAAATGGCGACGACGATGCTCCTTGATGCGGGTTTGGATAAGCGGTTCTGAGGTGAGGCCGTACTATCGGCTACTTATTTGCAGAACCGACTTCCGTCACGATCGGTTGACAAGACTCCGCGATGAAAAGTGGTATGGGAGGCAACCGATACTTAGCCATTTGAAAGTATATGGTTGTCCTGCTTATGTCCACATTCCCGATGTCAAACGGGGAAAATTTGACAGTAAAGCGAGGAAGCTGCGGTTTATTGGGTACTCTGACGTTCACAAGGGTTACCGTTTTGTTGATACCTCGACTGACAGGATCACAATAAGCCGTGACGCCAAGTTTATAGAAATGGACGACGGATCGTCACATAGAATGGATTCACAAGCGACATCTAATGAAAATTTTTCTAGCAGTGTGATCGAGTGGCCTTTTCCTGAGGTGCTCCCGAAGCAGCAGGTAGCGGAATAAGGAACTGCCGATAGTGGCGAAGAGGATGAAGAACCGGCGAGCGAAGACAGTGAGCGTGAAGATTATTTTGATGTGGACGATCCCGATCCAGATGAAGATCCCCTCGCGGTGAAGGAGGAGGAAAAAGAAGATGAAGTGAGGGAAGAATTAGAAACTGCAAATCGACAAGGTCGTCGCACCCGCGGCGTGCTACCGAGCCGTTTGTCGGATTATGTGGTAGGTGTTGTGACACAGAAGGTGCAGGAACCAGCAACGTACAAGCAAGCAGTGTCCAGTCCGGATCGATGTTCGTGGAAGGAAGCGATGGATAGCGAAATCCAGTCGCATAAGCAGAATGGGACGTGGGAGTTGGTGCCACTTCCGAAGGGCAAGAAAGTTGTAGGCAGTCGTTGGGTGTTCAAAGTGAAACGGAACGAATCAAATGAAGTCGTCCGCTACAAAGCAAGGATCGTCGCGCAGGGATTCACTCAGTGCTATGGCGTTGATTAAGATAAAGTGTTCGCCCCTGTGACCAAACATGCTACACTCAGAGTCCTGTTGTCCCTGGCTGGAAAGAGAGGAATGGCGTTGAAGCACTTGGATGTCCGTACCGCGTATCTCTATGGAGAAATCGAAGAAGAAATCTATATGCGTCAACTACCTGGCTACGAGGGACACGGAAAGGAGGAGATTGTTTGCCGACTTCGTAGAAGCATATACGGACTGAAACAGTCAGCCCGATGTTGGAACTGGAAGCTAACCGGTGTTCTGACACAAATGGGTTTCCAAGCAAGTTGCGCGGATCCGTGTCTGTTCATGGCAACCAGAAACGATAAGAAAATCTACCTTATCGTTTACGTGGATGATTTTCTGATCGGATGTGAAAGCGAGGATGAAATAACTCGTGTTCAGAAGCAGCTGAGTCAGCATTTCGAAATAGTTAATCTCGGCGATGTGAAACATTTCCTTGGACAGGAAGTTCGAAGGGAGAATGGCGTGTTCAGTGTGAGTTTGACCAACTACATTGAACAACTGGTTGCCAGGACAAGTATTAGCGAAGCAAAGACAGCAAGAACGCCCATGGATCAGGGTTATCTGAAGGATGAGGTTGACAGCAAACCATTCGAAGATGGTACGAAGTACAGAAGCGTGGTAGGTGCACTACTATATATTGCGGTGTGTGCACGCCCGGACATAGCGACAAGTGTCGGGATTCTTGGTCGGAAATTCAGTGCTCCCACGGAGGCTGATTGGACCGCTGCGAAGCGCGTGGTACGATATTTGAAAGGAACGATGGACTGGAAACTGCAGCTTGGAGGCAAAAAGGCGGAAGATTTGGTGGCATTTTCGGATTCGGACTGGGCAGGAGACAAAAGTACGAGGAAATCAACCACAGGATACGTTGTGTTCTACGGAGGAGGAGCAATATGCTGGGTGAGTCGTCGGCAGTCTTGTGTGACGCTTTCGACGATGGAAGCTGAGTATGTCGCTCTGGCTGAAACGTGTCAGGAAGTTGTGTGGCTGAGGCGACTACTCGAAGACTTTGGTGAAAAACAGGTGAAAGCAACAGTGATCAACGAAGACAATCAGGGCTGTTTGAGTTTCGCACGTTCGGAGAGATCAAGCAAGCGATCAAAGCATATTGAAACCAAGCACCATTTTGTCAAGGATCTGTGCGACAGAGGTGAAGTGTTGCTACAGTACTGCCCTACGGACCAGATGCCAGCAGATGTCCTTACGAAGCCGTTAGGTTTTGTAAAGCATCGACAGTTTGCGGAACATTTTGGTTTGGTTAACGAAACCGAACATCAAGGTGAGGTCTAACCATTGAGGAGGAGTGAAGGTATTTACATTGTGTTACCCCTCACCATACATAAACTTTTATGGCACTTATATGTGCATGACGGCCCTTCTGGCAACACTAAATGTTTAATGTGTACATAACAACAACAATAGTAAAGTTTCGTCTGTTCTGCCGTGAAGTGCCGTGCGTATTTATTTTTGATCCTTCCGAAGCCAATACGTGTGTCCCCGCTTGCGCCCCGTGAGAACTCTGTCCGCTTCTGTCCGCCCACACATTCTTCCGAAGCAACCAAAAGTACCGCATTCAACGATAAAACCCACTTTCAAGTTCCATAAAGTGCATATAAAGTTTCAACACAACTTTCTGGCTACTTTAGATGCTATAGAAAGCACACGAGGAACTTCAGGCTCCAAAAAGTTCCGATGCGTATTCCTAGCAAACTTGAAGTTCAAAAAAAGTTCAAAAAAGCATCCCTGGGCACTTCTAAGGAACTTCAGGCAAGGCAGAAAACAAAGTTCCGAACAGGTTCCCAGTGGAACTTCTTAGCAACTTTAAAGTATTTTAAAAGTTCCCCCTATTTTCTAAAAGTTCCGTTTAAGTTCCGCCAGAAGCTGCTTAGAATGCTCTTCAATTCAGGTAGCGGAACTTTCAAGTTCTTATAACGACTTAAAACTGAGGCTGCTTAGAAGTCTATAGACCACTTTCAACTAAGCTGCTTAAGCCACAAATAGCCTTTTATCAGAACTTTTGGTTACTTGGGTTTCGTCAGCCTGTTAAGGATGATCATCTCCAAGAGTTTTCCGTGTGTATCCAGCAGGCAGCGGTTTTACTGGTTTCGGCAGCAACACTAGCTTCTGAATCTTCCATCTGTCAGAGAAGTGACCGTCGTCCAGGCATTTCTGCAGCACCATCCTCAACATGTCCACTTTCAACGCTACGTTGGGGATTCGATCCGGACCGGGAGCTTTCTTCACCTTCAATCCTTTCGCCACTACTACGAGTTCCTCGTTGGTGACTTCGACGTTATCTCTCTCCTTCTCCGTACGATGTGGCCAGGTCATTGGGTCGTGCTTCGGGAAAAGTCCTTCCACGATGACTTTCAGCTTCTCTGGGCACATTTCAGCGAGCATCGTTGGACCTCTGATCTTCTCCATCACAACTCGGTATGCGTCGCCCCAGGGGTTGGCATTAGCGTCTCAACACAGCTCCTTAAAACAGTTTGACTTGATCTGCTTTATCTCTCGTTTAAGTGCGGCCCTGGCCGCTCGAAACACTCCTCTTGTTCTTCCCTGTCTCTGTTCTTGCTCTCTGAACACGTCTTCTGGCTCTGAGACAACTAGCGCGGAGGGTGCTAAGTATCTCATTCCACCAGTAATCTGGACGCCGTCTGTTATTTGGTGGGGGGGGGCTGTCCACACGGAGTGCTTCAACGAAAAGATCCTTATTATTATTGCATTTCATCGTCCTCCGTACTGAACCTGTATTCCGTTGACGTCGATAACGGATTCCGGCCATCTCTGCGAAAAGTGCTGCTGGTGCCTTCGTTGGACAGCATATCTTCAAGCTTTGCCAGAGCTACCAGCAGACTGTGCCCTCTTGCATTGGAACATCTGCTTCGCCACTCCACTGCCCAAGCATTGAAGTCTTCTCCGATAACTACTGCTACTGCAAGACAACCTATATTACACGATGTAAGCCATAGTCTATGAGGGGGGAAATAGTCAATGCTGAATCAACAATAGAAAAGGGCCCATCAGCATTTGTAAACAAACCTTTCTAAAGCCCTTTCCTCACAAAGCGAAGGCCGCCCACGCAAACCAACACTATCATCGGTGTTCATTGATAGTGTTCATTTGCGTGGGCGGCATTCGCTTTATGCGGAAAGGGCTTTCGAACGGTTTGTTTACAAATGCTGATGGGCCCTTTTCTATTGTTGATCCAGAATGATCAATGTTGACTTCGGAAGCCAATAGCTCTAATTTCCCATCATAGTAGCCACGGTTGTTTAATTTTCTGGCAACGTAAATCTTTTCCGAACTCTCATCTGCCGGCCGGCAAAGTTCAAATCTCTTCGTTTCATTTCCAATCGACATTTTAGTGTATATTTTCCTACAACCATGGCCGCTAATTCTGGAGTGAAAATTTTCCGCGACTTCCTGCGCGATAGCCCGTGTCGAATGGTAAAACTTTCATCGAAATTACCCAACGCAGAAATCTAACCTCAATCTCCCCGCTCGCAGGCCTACATGATGACGCAGCAGAAAAACTTCACCCAACAGTACGCGAAGAACCATCACCTGGGAAAATCCGCTGCTCAAGAACGCCCCAATGCATCACGCCCGAAAACCGCTCCCATCCCACCACCATCAAACCTCGCCCAAGCCATCACGAATCACAATCTGATGCCGGAGTCCGTGGTGACACCGAAACGACCCCGCACCAGTGCCCGTTTGATCAAACCAAATTTGGAGCTGATGTCCACCGATGGTCTCCTCACGACAACTTCCCGAAGACCACCTCCTCAAAAACCTATTCGACGACCGGAGGTCCCACGACCATCGGAGCAAATCCGTAAACGCCCGTCCGGTTCCAGTGTGGAAGACGTTCGCAAACGCCAACAGCAGCAACAGAAGCAATCCAGCAGCTCAAAACATCACGACCGGGAAGCACCGAAGCGACCGTGCAAAATTTGTATCGGGGAAGATTGCTTCGTTCCCGAGCAGCAGCAGTGGCAGGATCTGCTGAATGTGACCCCTTCCTCGTCGTCGTCCAAGTCGAATGGTTTCCGGCATCTGATCGGGGAGATTGAACGCATCCGCTCGGAACTGACTTCCCGGGACGGTATGAAACACATTGGACTGCAGCAATCGTTGGAGCTGATCAACGAAATCAAACAGCGGTTCGATTCGGTTCGGGCAGCGTCCGGTGGTGCGAGCTATCTGAACCGATTGGGACCGTTTCAGACGGCAGACAGGAGGATCAAGCCAAGGAAATCGGTACGATCGTTGCGCTTCGAGGGAGGCCGAATCGTCGAGAAGGATTACACCAAAGTCCACCATCGAGGCGGGGAAGAAGTTTTGAAGGCTAAGAAAAGCAAACTGAAGCAGGTGGAAAAGAAGTTCGATGAAGGTCCGCTGCGGATGCTGTTACCGTTTATGAGAGGATCGCTGAAGGCGGAGAAGGTCCGGTTTTGATTGAATAAAATTTGAATGTGAGTGAAATGTTTCATTTCTCAGCGAGCACGTGTTGCGAAAGGTTTCCATTGTGCTTCGCATAATGCCTACCGGTAGGCGGACTCGCTTCTCCAACCGTCGACGTCGACCGGTGCAGTCGGTGATGATCGCAAACGAAAGTAAAAGTTGTCTATCTCTTGATTTGCTTTGCTACCAAATTCGCTTCAATTCAAACGTCTACCGCGGTGGGACAAGTTTGGTTACCTACACGGGACGAGATCAAGTTCATGGTCTCGCTTCATAATTGCGCTAAGCACTATCCGTAAGTAGTTGCGGTACTTGTTCTGCAAGAAACCGCGCATTCGCATACCATATCGATGTCGTAACGTAATCGTACCGGCCGGTTAAGTGTAGGAAAGCGCAAAAGTAAAACAAAAAAAAAATGGCAAGCAATGGAGAGTGCAAACAAGAAATAAATTATGGTAAATATTGTGGCCAACCGGCTAGACAACATGTGGACCAGACGATATAGTAAAACACTTGCGAAACGATGCGAACATGTGTTTGTCGAAAAAGGTGTGCTTGCTGCAGTTTTGTTTTGATTGTGGTGTTAAAAGAGGTAAGTGCCGGAAGATGGGTAGGTGATTCAGAAACGTGGGAATCGCGTGAATACCTTGAAAGTTGAAGAAGCGAGAGGTAGGTGAAGATGCATGACGAGCAGATAGAATGTGTGACACGTAATAAGCGACTCAGGGAGATGATTATATTGATACTTATTGCTTACAAGCGGAAGAAATTAACGCAGTCTTGGCCGATCAAACATACCTACTGCTGTCATAATTAGCATTATTAAAGCTTTGTTAAGGCTAGTTCGTGGCGAAGCAGATTGCTTTATCAAACACGATGCAATTGAAAATGTATATGTGTAAGTTGTGGTTTGCTTACTGACTGCTGAGTTTAGGGAACGCTATACATTATAAATCAATTTAGAATCATACAAATGGCTCGAAGAAGTCAAAACTGAATATCTTCAATAGACTTATAAAAACCCTTACATTTTACAAATTTGCGATGGGCACCACCGAGCAGCTCGGCATTTTATTTTGCTGGAGCTCAGTGAAAAACTTGCCGAGATTCAGTAAAATTTATGTCTGTTAGCTGAGATCTTGGCAAAATGCTCGTTTGTTAGCTGTATCTTGGCAAGTTTTGGTGGTGCTCATCTCGGCAAAAAAAAATCTAAGCGCGGGGTGAAGAGAATGAAGCTGAGGTATCACTGCACAGTGGGGAAAAATGGACCCAAAATCCCACTTAATTAGACGGCCCTGGGTAGGAGCCTTTTGCAATAGCTTTTCTTATGTAGAAAAAAAGCGGGGAATCGACCTCAGAAAGTGGTCCATTTTACCCCATCTTCACCAAATTTTCGTAGAAATTAATGAATTAACACGTTGATAAAGAAATTGGGGCTACCAAATTAAGCTTACATGTGCTATTCTATTGTTAAAATGTTCATAGAGCAAGCTCGTTTCGTTTCAATCCCAAAAAAGTCAATTTTGCCCCAATTCCCCCCAAACTATTTAAATAAGCTAAATCATACGCTCATCTTTATTAATGCTGTTATACCGTGACCGCCCCTTATTGTGCGCAGTTCCTAATTGTGCGCATTTTAAGCATTCTTTCTACATTTTACGAACATTACTCATTGTTATCACCACAATATTATTTTTCTTTGAAGCACTGTTGAATAACATATCTGAATTCACAATAATATTTGTATTTTACAGAAATTAAGTGAACAAAATAAAAAAAAAACACAATCTACAACACTGAAAACGTTAAAAAATCAGCTCCGTTAGCTTCAACGCTTGTACCGCGCTCGAAGTGTTGTTTTAAATTTCGAAGTGAAACCCAGTAAAAGAATTGGAATATTTACCGCAGTTGGTAAGATATATTTGCATTAATCGTATCCTACTCAAAAACTAGCGGTTACATACATAATTTTTGTGCAAAATTACGATTTACTATTGCGCAGAATTAGGCACCATTGTTTTTATTTATGTTCCTAATCATGCGCAGAGTGCTCCAAGATGAATCGTGGCCGAAGAATGTGCAGTACGACCAAAATCACATGGTTCTGGCCATGGATATGGTCAGAAAAGTATTTTCGGTTCGTGGAGCCGCAAAAGTCCATGGAATCCCTGAGAGCACTCTTCGTAAAAAAAAATGCCCTTGGCACTTCGGAAGTAATGCGTCCAGGAAGACCAACCGTTTTAAATAAGCAAGAGGAGGACCGCATCATCCAGTGGATAATCGAGATGGCTAGGGCTGGCTTCCCGGTGGACTCCCAATGTCTGAAAACGTTGGTCGCATATTACCTTAAATCCACAGGACATTCAAGATTCCATAAAACGCATGCTCCTGGTCGAAAATGGTTAACACTATTTTTGAAACGGCATCCCAACATTTCCCGAATAATCCCAGGTGCCCTTTCGAAACAGCGGACGTATATCACTGAAGGTAAAATTAGGAGCTGAACAAGCTAGCTTGAAAGAGAGTGTACCCCATTTGGCATAAATACGTTAGGCATACGGACGTTAGGCATACGGACGTTAGGCATACGGACGTTAGGCATACGGACGTTAGTCATAATGAACGTTAGGCATAAAGTCATTAGGCATAATGGACGTTTGGCATAATATACGTTAGGCATAATGGACGTTAGGCATAAAATACCTTGCTGCTGTGCAACTCTAGAAAACTGTTTTGAGCATGGTAAACAATGAAATCCATTATTTATCATATCATAAGTGACGAACCTACATATTTACTTAGATCCAAGATTAGTAGCGATAGTGGTTAAGTAATCTGGCAACAAAACTCAGCATAGTTTTTTTACTACATCTTGAAATCAATCGCATATAGAAATAACAAAGCACACATTTGTTGTAATATATTCTTACACATCTATTGCAAGTCCGGGAAACTTTGAGATTTGGGCGTAATTGCTTTTGTAAACAGACATGTCAATCGCTGATCGTGAATAAAAGAAAAAATCTCGTGAACAAACTATACCAAATGATAGAGGAACCATTCATCTGCCTGTTTGTGTTGTTAGTTTTTAAGATTGAGCTTTAATTCGCGAGAAATCGTCAAATGAAGTGTTTGTTTACAAAAGCAATTACACCCTAATCTCGAAGTTCTCCGGAAATGTCAAAGAAGAAAAGGTTTTCGTCAAAGAACAGCTCATGAAATAAAGAATGATGAATTCTGTGAATTTTCATTCAATAACAAAAAACAGCTGAGGTTGAATAAAAGATGATGCTAAAGAACAGCTCATGAAATGAAGAATGGTTTTTCATTCAATAACAAAAACATATCTGATGCTTCCAGGATTTACTCCCATACTTTTCGATACAACGATTGTGTTTTTGTTGCCATCAGAATGAATACTAGCAGAACTGTCTGCTGATATGAGGGAGCGATACTTCCATGAACAGTGACGAGTTGCCGAAACAAACAAGGAACTGTGGCAAACGTACTATCTTCAACCAAAAACTTTGCCGTTTTCATGACGTCGCAAGTTTTCATGAGTCCCAAAAATTAAGGCTCTTTTATTATTGTCACCGATGTCAGCAATCAATACACGGTCCCCATTATCATCCTTCTGGAATTCAACGGGTAGATTATGCCTAACGTCTATTATGCCTAACGTCCTTTATGCCTAACGTCCATTATGCCTACCGTACATTATGCCTAACGTCCGTATGCCTAACGTCGTGTACCCCTTGAAAGATGCCATGAAGCATCCGACCCGCATTTTCAATATGGATGAAACATCAATTCGACTTGTGCCCACAAAAGAATCTGTAAAATTCTTCTATATAAAGTGTAATTACATTTTGTTTTCCTTTTACAAGCAATAACCATTATATTCCAACAATTTATTGCTATTTTTTAGCTGTGCACAATTAGGAACAAATGTGCGCACAATTAGGAACATGCGCAATAAAGTGCGCATAATTAGGCACCCAACATCGGTGTATAAAATGATCGCTTTTGACACAATGATCGGTTTACCTATAATATTAATATATTGTTTCGATTGTTATAGATATTATCAATAAATTCTACTAAATAAATAATTTAAATGTCACTTTAAAATGTCTAATGTAATGTTTAAATCACAAAAACATCTTAACTGCGCACAATATGGTACCTTCACGGTAATTGAACCCACTTTCACTTTATTATTGCCAAATGTCTGGTGCATCTATTGATGATGGGTGCAGATTACACAGACATCAGAAAAGGGTCAATTTTGCCCGAATTCCCCTCACACTTGAATTTCCTTTTATTTCTTACGGTTATTCTAAATGACGCTAGTTATATAACGCTCACTTTCACTTTTCTATTAAAAAAATGTCAGGAGAATCAAACGGTGAGGGTTTCAGATTGTGTAGACATCAGAAAAGGGTCCATTTTGCCCGAATTCCCCTCACACTTGAAATATCTTTTATTGCTTCCGGTTATTCTAATTGGCAGTAAATATATAAAACATACTTTTACTTTATTATAGTAAAAATTTATGACGAACCGATTGGCGATGGTTTCAGATTGTACAGACATCAGAAAAGAGTCCATTTTGCCCGAATTCTCCTCACACTTGGATTATCTTTTATTTCTTACAATGTGCCCAAATGCGCAATGAGCATGTGTCAACATTTGGTATTAATGTTGCCACAATCCAATTTTTACAAACCACAACCGTGAATCTCCGAAAGCTCCAAACACAACCCATCCTAATGCCTGTCTGAAGCAGTAAATACAGGGTGCGTGACGAATTTTTGCAGTAAATTTCAAATAGTAATTTCTCATGCTTGTGCATCATGATTTAGATATATTTGGCAGCACTGGATAGCTTATACTGTTAGGTGTAAGATTTAAATAAACAATGTTGAGTAAACGTAAATATGTCGAAACAAGAGAGCAATCAGGAACGGCGCCGGTGGTGTAGTGGTAAGCGT